TAGTGGGTGTATATAGACAAACTGATTCTCAAGTTTATATGGAAAGACAAAAGGTCCAGGTCAGTGAATATGATATTGAGGAAGAAGAACAAAGTCAGAGGATAGATACTCCCTGACTTCCAGACTTTCTGTAAAGCTACGGTAATCAAGACAGTATGGTATTGGCAAAAGAATAGACAAACAGATCAATGGAAGAGATCTAGCAGTGGAACAGACTAGAGAGCTCAGAAATAGACCCACACAAATATAGTCAACTACAGTGGGGAACGGCCAGTCTTTTCATCTAACAGTGCTGGAACAACTGAACCTCTGCTTGCAAATCAATGAATCTGGACACAAGCCTTACACGCTTCATAAAAATTAACTAAAAATGGATCACAGATCCAAATGCAAAGCACAAAATTATAAAGCTTCTAGAAGATGACATAGGAGAAAATGTAGTTGGTTTTGGGTGTAGCAATGGCTTTTTAGAGCGAAAAGCACCATCAATAAAGGAAAAAAATTGATACGATGGTTCGTTAAATTAAAAACTTTTGTGCTGCAGAAGACACTATCAAGCAAATGAAAGACATGCTACAGACTAAAAAAAAGTTTCAAAACACATCTGTGGCTCACTCCTGTAATCCCAGCACTTTGTGAGGCTGAGGCAGGTAGATTACTTGAGGCCAGGAGTTTGAGACCAGCCTGGCCAACATGGCAAAATGCTGTCTTTACTAAAAATATAAAAATTAGCCAGGTATCTTGTGCATGCCTATAATCATAGCTATTTGGGAGACTGAGGTATGAGAATAACTTCAACCCTGGAAGTGGAGGTTGCTGTGAGCTGAGTTCATGCCTTTGCACTCCAGCCTGGGCAGCAGGGCAAGATTCTGTCTCAAAAACAAACAAACAAAAAACCTCACTTATATCTAAAACAAATAATATCCAGAATACACAAACTCAACTGTAAGAAAACAATCAACTCAATTTTAAAAATAAGTGAAAGATCCACACAGACACTTCATCAAAGAAGATATATCGACAGCAAACATGCACATGCAAAGATTTTCAACATAATTTATCATTGGAGAGTTTTAAATTAGAGCAACCATAAGATACTATATTGTGGTATGAAAAGAAATATATTTGGTCTTTGGCCCCAGTTCCTGGCACAGAGCTTCTAAAACACTTGAAATTATTGAGTGATAAGAATGTCATTTGTTATTTATAAAAAGTCCCAGACCAGCTGTGGTGGCTCATGCCTACCCAGCACTTTGGTAGGCCGAGGTGGATGGATCACAAGGTGAATGGATCAGGAGTTCAAGACCAGCCTGACAAACATGGTGAAACCCCGTCACGACTAAAAAAAAGTACAAAAATTAGCTGGGCGTGGTGTGAGTGCCTGTAATCCCAGCTACTCAGGAGGCTGAGGCAGGAGAATCACTTGAACCTGGGAGGCAGAGGTTGCAGTGAGCTAAGATTGTGCCACTGCATTCCAGCCTGGAGAGCAAGAATGAGACTCTATCTCAAAAAAACAAAGTTCCTTTTGATCATACCTGGGTTTATAATGAGATAACCAAGGGTAGGACCCCTAGATAGCCTCAGGATGGGACTGGTCACCAGAAAGACCAAGTGATTAGAAGGTTAGGACTTTTAACCGCATACCCTGACTTCTGCGAGGTTTCAAGGGGAGTAGAGGAGGGGAGTGACTGGAGATTAGGCTCTATACAAACTCTTGAACATGAAATTTAACTGAGAGGTTGGTGCATGTATCAAGGTGGTTAGGAGGCTTCCATGCCTGGAGAGGGCATGGAAGCTCTGTACACCTCCCCCATCACTCCCCATAACTTGCCCTATGGCTATTTCTGTATTGTATCCTTTATAATAAGGCAGTAAACATAAGCAAAGTGTTTCTCTAAATTAGAATTACTAAATAATCCATTCTAACAGGTTATTGAACCTGAGGACAGGATTGTGGGAACCTCATGAATTTATAGCTAGTCAGTCAGAAAGCCAAGTGGTTTGGGGACTTGAAGTTGGCTTCTGAAGTGGGGACAGTCCTGTGGGATGGAGCCCTTAACTTGTGGGTCTGATGTTAACTCCAGGTAGATAGTTTCAGGATTGAATTGAATTGTTGTGGGGAAAAAATCCAACATCTGGGGTCAGAAGTGAATGTTGTATGAGTATAGAGAAACAGTTTTTGTTCTCAGAATTACACACCTATTAGAATGGCTGAAATCCACAACACTGACAGCATCAAATGCTAACAAGGATGTGGTGCAACAGGAATGCTCATGCATTGCTGGTGGAAATGCAAAATGATACAGCCTCTTTGAAAAACAGGCAGCTTCTTAGAAAGTAAACATACTCTTAGTATACAATCCAGGGATCATGCTCCTTGGTATTTACCCAAATAAGCTGAAAACATGTCCACAAAAGAACAACAGAACATGCAACACAAGGAGCCTACCCTATTGTAACCCATGAACCTTAGTTAATAGTAACATACCCATATTGGCTTACCAGTTGTAACAAGGGAACCACACTAATGCAAGTTGTAAATAATAGGGGAAACTCTGGGTCAGTGTGTGTGCAAGGTAGCACACAGTAACACTTAACTTTCTGCTCAGTTTTTCTGCTAACCTAAAACTGCTCTGTAATAGTTTGCTAGAGCTGCCACAACCATGTACCTGGGTTGCTTCAAACAGAAATTTACTGCCTCGCAGTTATGGAGGCTAGCTGTCCAAAATCAAGGTGTTGGCAGAGCCAGGGTCCCTCAGGGACTCTGGGTAGAGTCCTTCCTTGCCTCTTCCCAGCTTGTGGAGGTGGGTGGCAGTCCTTGACATTCCTTGACTGACAGCTACATCAGTTCTAGCAGCTGACAACCATCTCTAGCCCACTTGAATCACTGTAATGGTGTGAGAGTGCATTCATTCATCCGTCATTGAGTCAGGGTCTGCAGGCCAGACCTCTGCATATGGTGATCACCACCTGCGGAGGTCCGGCCTGCAGATCCTGACTCAATGACGGATGAATGAATGCACTCTCACACCATTACAGTGATTCAAGTGGGCTAGGGATAGTCGTCGGCTGCTTTCAGAGGGCGAAATGCAGCCGATTGACCAAGACTCCCTCTCCATCATTGCATTTATTCAGTATGAATTTTACAACAGAGGTTCTAAGTTAACTCACTTGTGGATAATTAACATGGTTAAGAGTGGTTTCATAAATGATAAAAGCTTTAGGTTCTGGACCAGAGTAAATACTATTAATAGGTAATTCTCCTTTGGTCTCCCCCTGAGAGGGCCACCAAGCACAAAATTTACATGAGTAAACAGTTAGAGTGAAGACAAAGGAATGTGATATAAACAGATTTAAACTGGGAAAGCCTATGATCATCTCTATCTCTTTCCTATGCTAATGTAAATGAGGCAGCTGCTTTCAGCATACCTCATTAAAACCTTTTAGCCTTCCAAAAGGTTTGAGATTACAATCTTTAACTTTCACCAGTATTTTGCCAGCCACCCTGAGTCAATATCAATAAGTCCTCTTAGGCTCTGTCATCACAGAATTATCTTTCCATTGTCTTCCTTCTGCCCATGTCTGTGTCTGGATCCAAATTTACCCTTTCTAAAGAATACCAGTCATTATTGAATTAGGGCTTACCCTAATGCCCTTATCTTAATTTGATCATGTACAAAGACCCCATTTTCAAGTGAGGTCACATTCATAGGTACCAGAAACTTCTACATACCTTTGGAGGAGAGGACACAATTCAACCCATAACATGCTTTAAAAAATAAAGTATATAAATTGAAAAAAAAAATCCTCTTTTTTCCTATGATAGAAGGAAGATAGGAAGAGATATGAAGACATGAATTTCTAGACTTTAGCTTAATTCTCCGGTGTAGATAGAAGACTAGCAATAGCTATAAATTCTAAGACTTGATGGTATTAATAATATGATTTTATTTCATTCTCAGTACTCTGCTGAAGTAGGGGAAACATTTAAGTTGAAAGAAAAAGGATGTCATTCTTTTATAGGACGTGTCTAAAAAGTAAGAACACCTCCAATAGAGGTATCAATGTGTATAAAGCAGCAAATTAAATTTGTAGGGTTGATGACAATTCTTTGTTTCATGGCATTGAGGGAAAGATGTCAGAATTTAAGGAAGAGAGGAATACAGTTTGTGTTTGTGAATTTAGGGAAGAGAGGAATACAGTTTGTGTTTGTGTGCCTTATTACATGAAGACAGTAGCTGGTTAGCTCCTTTGGTTAGAATAGTGTACTAATGCAAAAACAGCCTCAGATTTCCTTCAAAGTCAGAAATGTCGCTCTGTTCCAAGCCATAAGCTGTGATCTGGACTCCAGCCATGTCTCTGCCTGAACAGTTGAAGCAGTGGCACTAGGACAATACAAATTTATTCCTGCCAGAGACCATGGAAACCTGCTGCTCAATATTCATTCTCTCCTTCTCCTTAAATAATTAAACACTAATGTTCTTCACAAGACAATGTGCCAAGTTAATAAACATCCATCTCCATTGACCCCCATGTAGCTGGGGGTTCCAGGAAACTTAATACCACTGGAGTTGTGGTTGGAAGTCTCTGAAAAGAGCTTCAAAACAGACAAAGCTTCATAAGAATTAAGCTCTTTCCTTCTTCCTTCTTAGATGTGGGATACACATGGATACAGTATATGGAAATGTTGCAGCCATGATGGTGGGAGTCTCACTGTAAGGATGATGGAGTAACAGAATGATAGAAGTTTGAGGCACTGATGTCTTCAAGTTCATTACATTTCTCTCTAGCCTTATCTAATCTGGTGGTTAATCCATCCATTGAGTTTTCACTTTCTTTATTGCTTTTTAAATTTTAGCAGTTCTATTTGGTTTTTAAATATATTTATGGTAATTTTGTAAAATCTATTTCCTAGCTCATATTTTCAAGTTCTTTTTGAGGCTTTGTTTCAGCTGTCTGTATCTGCTGATTCTCACACACAGTACCTTATTTCTTTACAGGTTTTGGTGTTGGTGCTGTGAACGGCTAATTTCCTTGGATCCAGAAGCTGGATTTTCTTGGATTCTTAGAAGCTGGCTTGACATTGAAGTCTATCAAAGAGAATTTGCATCTGCTTTTCACAGCATCCTAGAGGTGCTACCAATCTGGGACCACTTTGAATATATTTATCTATTTGTGATTTTTGGTGGCTGCAGAGGTTCTGTGAATTTGGACTAAAAACTCTTGTAATATCTTAGTTGTATATTTTCAGAGGAATTTTTTTTTTTTTTGCCAACACCAAGTCTAGATAGGTAAGTTTCCTGGCTTTACATTTTGCATGTTAGGATTTATTTTTAGTTCATCCTAACTTTTAAATTATAGCCCTTTGGGGTCCCAGGGTTATACAGGTATTTTGCATCAGGCTCTTCACTGGAGTGGGCCCTGGGATTTTAATCCTACCTCTCATGCCTACATCATCTTCAAAGCAGAAGCTCAGGTATTCCACTTTTCAGCAGGAGTCTTCAAGATGAAAGCTAACTTTGCGTTTGTCTGACTCCCAAACTTGTTTTGTTTCTTTGTAGATTTCTTACCTTGGTGCCATTCAGCAATGCATTTTAAAGGAAAAATGTAGTGTTTATTCAACGATGTAGTTATTTCAATCAGAAGGGTTGTTCAGGACACCTAAATTGCCTTACTGACAGAAACAAGAATTTAGCCTTTGATTTTGATGGAAGGTCTTTGTGACTGAACGACTAAACCCACGCAACTCTACAATGGACCTTGGAAAACCACTCATGCTTTACCTCCCTCCATGACAGGTGCCTTACACAAAAACCAAAACAATAAACTGCCAAATTTTTTTTGTAAATTACTAATGTTGGCATTTCTGATATGTTGCCTGTCACAAGTGAAGAACATATTTTTCTAAGTGATTTTCTTGAGGGAAGAGTGGATTACTGTGGTGTGAAGGTTAAGATAACTGGATAAAACTGCTTCAGCTTAAAGATGAACTCTTCAGGACCATTTCAAAATGTTCCAAAGAGAATAAATATCCAGGTTTATAATGACCCTTCAGAGCAGCACTGCGGCTGCCAGGAATAGTTCAGAGCATGTTGAATCCTACAGTTTCCCTCTCTCTTGAGGCTCTGCATTACAGCCATTCACAACTGGAAGAGCACGATTTATTCAGCCCTCAAAATTATGAGAACCAAAATGGATTGAGCTCATTTGAAATGCAGATGTGACTGCACTCTAATTACAATTGCCCCTGTGATTTTTGCTGTGAAGCACAAGCCATCAAACAGAGATGAGAAAAATCTGGGCACAACAGTAAGGGAATATTTTGGTCCTGGATTGAAGTAAGTTTTAAAGTACATGTAAAGAAAAGGGAGAAATATCCCAGGGATAAACTTGGCTGACATCACATTTTTTTCTCTTCTTTGATAAATGTCTTGCTTTGGACCCCATCAAGGTACATCCCTCACTGCACACTGAAGAAGGAGAGGGGAAAGGTTAATTATCCTGTAGACGGTCTCCCACCAAAAAAAGTAAAGGAAACTGGTGAATATTTCTGAAGGATTCCTAGAGACACAAGGAAAAAAGCATTCGCTTAAGTGACAAAGCCACATCTCCTTTTTGGGAAACACGGTCTACTTAAATGAGGTGCCAAAGAGATGATGTCACACCGTCTTTTCCTAAATATACCCACACACATACTGCATCTCACCTTGCACACTCATTGGAGGTCATTTCTGAGATGCACACACATGCCCACACAATATTACTGTTAGAGATATATTCAGGAGGCAATTATAGCATCACTTTTCCTGGGCCTTTTCATAGCATAGTGGAAAGATGGAGTTCAAATTCTTGGGGTTGAAAATTTTGGGCTCACCTACCAGCTCTGATGTCTTGGACAAATTACTACTTAACTTTTCTCCTTGTCAGTTCACTTCTCTACATAACGGCCATAATGATTCCTGTATTATGAAATGTAAGGCAGCATGCATGTAAAAATAAGACACACTAATGTTGGTCAAGATTATCATTAGGCATAAAGCACTATCTATTGATTTATCTGTCATCTCTCATGGCTAAGTGAGTTTTAGAAATGGAATGTAGCATGCAGAATGGGAGAAATCCCATGCCTGGAATACATTGACCCAAAATGCACTATCCTCCTCTTTACTTTTTTTTTTTTTTTTTTTTTTTTAGAGACAGGATGTAGCTATGTTGCCCAGGCTGGAGGGCAATGGTGTGATCATGACTCACTGCAGCCTCAAACTCCTGGGCTCAAGTCATCCTCTTACCTCTGCTTCCTTAGTAACTGGGACTATAGGTGCATGCTACTGCACCCAGCTAATTTTTAAATTTTTCTGTAGAGACTAGTTCTCGCTATGTTGCCCAAGCTGATCTTAAACTCCTGACCTCAAGCCATCCTCCTGCCTTGGTCTCTCAAAGTGCTGAGATTACGGGCATGAGCCTCTGCACCTGGTCCTCTCTTCATCTTTATCCTACTGACACGTCCTGCAGTTACAACGCCCATGCTCTGACATGACAAAAGTGAGAAGACAAAAGTGTTAAGGTCTTTGCTCGGTAGGAGTATAGGATCCTGGAAGGGACTCTGGCATTTGAGGTGGAAACAGGTCCTCAAGCCAGAAACTCATTTAGATTCAATGCCCTTGTGCTTTAGGTATTTCCTCTATTTAAAGTTAGAGTATTCTTGGGTGGATATTTATTAGCAAGGATGATGATGAGGGAGGGTCACTAATGGGAGAAACCTTATGACCAACTTTGCCCAAGAAAAGCCTGAACTAGCCTGTACAAGCACTGTGCCCCTCTGACAGTCAGGGAGCACACCTTAAAGGCAAAGGCCTTACCCTTTGGACTCCATGCCTGACACATGCGACCCCCACCACCTGCTCACAGGTAATTGGACCACGGGTGGGTGTCTTTCCCAGAACTAGCTAATTTATAGGCTAGCTTGTCATCTATAAGGTCAGGAGAGTCAGGCAACTCAATGCCACTTGGATGATGGGCACAAAGTGTATCACTCATATCCTCTCTCAAGGGGTTTGAATGTGAAACAGACACAAGAAAAGTGTATTTATAGGCAGCAGCAGGAGCAATAGGACAATGAAAGAGAGGAGCTGATTCACAACATGAAGGAAACTGGGAGGAACAATGGAGGGCTGTGATGTCCCCGAGGCTGCTGGCAAGCTGCGAAAACTGTTGCTGATCCTGAATGGTGTATCTGCCTTGAACATTTTCAATTCCTTCTATTCCCATGTTGTTTTTAGAATCGTGTTTTAAAGAAAACCGGTCCCTGATCTTGGTGCTTACTATCAGAATGTGTGCTTTTGGTTGTAGCATTTGGTAATAGCAAAACTTTTGGTTGTAGCATTCCGCTTTTCCTAATAACTTAGTTCTTAATAATTTGCTGTGAGAGCTTGAAAATTTGAGAATATATGATGTGTGACATCAGCATGTGAATTACTGAGACTCACAATGTAACACCTTATCAACCTTTGAAGATATTGGTACTCAACATCTTTTTTGAATGTAAATTTTTTAGATTTAACTTTTCCTGGATTAATTTATTAGAAAGTCACCAAATTGATCATTTAGAAAAGAATTAAAAACTACACGGCTTCTTAAATTTTTGGTATGTGCATTAAGAATTGTGTAAGAATTGCTCATAATATCTGCATACCGACCTTCAAAATGACCAAAATCATCTGAATTATGGAAGAAAAAGATTGGACACAGTGGCTCATACCTGTCATCCTAGCACTTTTGGAGGCCGAGGTGGGAGGATTGCTGGAGTTCAAGACCAGCCTGGGCAACATGGTGAAACCCCATCTCTACCAAAAATAGAAAAAACCAGTTGGGCATGGTGGCATGTGCCTGTGGTCCCAGCTACTCAGGAGGCTGAGGTAGGAGGATCACTTGAGCCCAGGACAGAGGTTGCAGTGAGCTGAGATTGTGCCACTGCACTCCAGTCTGAGCAACAGAGTGAGACCTGGTCTAAAAAAATAAATGCATAAATAAATAAAAAAAAATAAATAAGACTTTAACAGACACTTCACCAAAGATGTACAAATGACAAAAAAGCACACAAAAAGATGTTCAGTATCCTATGTCATTACAGAAATGCAGATTAAGGCAATGAGATAACACCACACACCTATGTGAATGGCCTAAATCCAGAACATGGACAGCACCAAATGCTGGGAAGGATGTGGAGCAATAGCAACTCCCAGTCACTGCTAATGGGCATGCAAAATGATATAGTCACTTTGGAAGACCGTTTGGCAGTTTCTTACAAAGCTAAGTCATTTTACCATACAACTCAGAAATCTCACTCCTGAGTAACTGACTTGAAAACTTATGTCCACACAGAAACCTGTACGTGAGTGTTTATAGTAACTTTTTTCATAACCACTAAAAACTGGAAGCAACCAAGACCAAGATATCCTTCAAAACAGATGTACAAACCGTGGTACATCCAAACAATGGAATTATTCAATAATAAAAAAGGAATAAATGTCAATAATATGACTAAAAGAAATAAATGTCAACAATATGATGACTAAAAGTCATATTATGTATTTAGTCATAATATGATGACTAAGTGGTCAAAGGACATTGGGGAAAAAATTAGGAAAATCTGTATAAACGATGGACTTCAGTTAATAGCAATATATGATTGCCTTAGCAATTCTAAGAAATTTATCAAGCTAATATAAAATGTTAATAACAGGATGATGGGGCTCAGGACACACTACTGCGAAATATGGCACATTGGCATTTGAGAAAATGGCAGGAACTGAAAGGTCACACTCACCTTCCCTCCACCCTTCTCCCCGGAGCAAGCCATAAAATAGTGTCAGCAGAAAACACTCAAATTGTTTTTTTTTTTCTGTTTCCACATCACAACAATTAACATAGAAGACTTTTGTGATTCCCAAATATGTATGGATTTCTCCCCACCAGCAAGCAAGTGATTTTGCAGCAGACACCAGCGGGGTGTCCTACAATTTAGTTCCAACACTATCTACCTGGAGATGGCAGCAGATCTAGCAGACTGAGGGCTCATTCCCATGAGACTGTCCCCCACTTTCGATGCCAATAGCAAGTTCAAGGTTGTTTTGCTTGCGCTTTTCAACTATTGGCTGCAAATCAGAGTTCCCAAGACCCCCTCCATGAGTTTGATTAATTTGTTAGGCTTACAGAACTCAGGAAACACTTACTTACATTTACTGGCTTATGATAAAGGATATTACAAAGATGAAGAGATGGATAGAGTGAG